ACAAATAGGCAATTATTGCCATACAATTTCCAGAGAAGATTGAATCTAATGCTTCATTGTGTGTGGATGATAATCTGTCTCTTGGTCTTTAGGCAAGAGATTCATTATCTTCCACCACGGCTGAGGGATCTCAAACTATCTCTCCTCCTCGTTTACTGTCTTCAGGATTATAATTCATTTCCGTATTCGACTGATGAAGCCTGCAGCGGAGGCGAAGCATTTCGTCACTGAAGATATCTAGTGATGCAGATGTTTCTTAAGCGAATTAAGTGTAACTTTGTAAACCCGTTGATACGCTATATCAAAAATACTGAACGTTTTTATAAAAAAATTGATAAATTATGTAAAGAAGACGGGACGTAACGAGCATAGTTATTTCAGCAATTACGAAAAAGTCATTACTATTAGTAAACTCAGCAATTAAAGAACTCAACCTGACGAGCTGGAGGACAAGAGGGGTAGGGAGGGAAAGGATAATGTCGTATAAAATACTGAGAGGAACAAAGGTACACAACTGGAAGTTGAAAACTCAGATCAGTCACAGGAATGTCAGAAAGTATTTTTCAACCTTAGAGTTGTCAGGAAGTGGAATAATATGGAGAGTGATTCATTGAAGGCAGGATCCCTAAAATGGTTTATGAAGAGGTACGATAAACACTTGGAGCAGGGAGAGTGGAACTAGTAGCGACTAGCAAGAGGCAGGGCCAGGAGCTGTGACTCGACCCCTGAGTAAGTGAGTATGCGCACACACACACACACACACACACACACACATTATGGTATACGCAACACATGACACAGGGTACACTCAAATCACCTTTTTCAGGTGTAAGTTTAGGACAATTATTTGGAGTACCAGGCACGATTGGAACCACACCCAGAACACGGGGAAAGAAACTGCAAATGCAAAGTCATGTTTGCAAAAAGAAGACCCAGAGTAAGGAGGTCATGACCTCACCAGGAGAAGGTTAAGGGAAATAACCTGAGCACTGGAAGGGACAGGACAATAGGGAAGCATGAGCATATGGACTGCAAAACTGAGAAAGGAATTGAACAGTGGAAACAAGACAGAGTGAGTCAGGTGGCCATACAGTATACAAGTTTGGGACGCATTGTAAAGCCTGAAGACAAATAGAGAATCACAGGGTTTGGAAAGGGTTTTTTTCAGCACAAGGAGTATAAAGTAAGGGAAATTACGAACTTTGGGGAAGGAGGTAGTGGAGACAGGATCCATAAATAGGGTTAAAGCAAGGTATGACAAAGCGATGTTCCCGGGAGAGTGACCAGAAACGCAATCAGTTTAAGAGGCTGGGCCAGGAGTGGGAAATCACCTCCGTCACCTCAACTAGGTGAGTAAAACACAAAATACACGTAGTGGAGGAGGGGTCCATACACAGTTTAAGAACGAGTTGATAAAGCTCATAGAGCATAGAGCAGGGAGAGAATGGACTTAGTAGCGACCATGGAAGAGGCGGAACCAGGAGCTGTGAATCGGCCCCTGCAACTACAATTAGGCGAGTACACACATACATGCACTCAACGTTGATACCTTATGAAGACATACGCCCCTGTTGCCTTGTAATAATAATGTTCCATAATTCAGTCATTATATATATTTCCTAATGAGGAAAATGTGAGGCAGGCAATGTGAAAGGTGTCAAGTTAAAATTAATGGCAATATCGGAAGAGCTGGTGTTGACACATCAAAATATCAGAACTTACAATTATGTCTCATGGATAATCCAGTTGTTTCACGATGGAGCGCCCCTTTAAGGAAGGCGTAATACTGGTGAAGGTCTCTTGATCGAAGGAAGTGGAGCTATTGCTTCCCCTTCTGGAAGGAAATCTGATTACTCATGGCCCCTTATATCTATTTGGGATCTATAAAGACCTGTTTTAAATATTAAGTGAGCACACTCAGTATCTGAGATCATTTAGCCTGTTTGTTTCATTATTATTATTAATATTATTATTATTATTATTTTTAATATTATTATTATTATTATTATTATTATTATTATTATTATTATTATTTCTACTACTACTTACTACTACTTACTACTACTACTACTACTACTACTACTACTACTACTACGTCCTTCTCAGTACAGCCAGATGACCGTAGTTAAATTTTCCATATTGAAAATCAGGGTTATTATTGATTCATCATTTTTTCTTACCTGGTGTGGCAGGTGACGCTGTCTGGCTACACTGTCACCAGGAATGTACTGGAATAAACTGTCCGAACTGATTACTTTCGCTGGTTTATCTGAACGTGTTCGTCCGTACATCTGAACCGATTCACTTGTTTAACAAGACCTGATCTCTCGTTAGTCTGCATCTGATCGCCCTTACTGAGGATACAGCAAATACCCCAGGTGATATTAACCAGGTCTTCCAGTATGCCACAGAATACAATATGATGTTTAACGAGGAAAAAGTTTAGTTACTTCTCTATGAACAAACTGAGCAAATAAAAACTGAAACAGGGTATAAAACAAATTCATTCCACTCAAGAGAGTGAAAGATTAATGTGAAGCTGTGAAGCGCTTAGGAACGATACCAGACTGTCCTTTATTCAATGATTACGAGTAGTGCTCTCATATACACACGGAAAAGCTGGGTAACCAGAACTTTCATGACAATACATGTTAACCCAGTAATGCTCTTCTGTAAGTTATATTTCTTGCCTTAAAGATGCATGACTTTTAAAGGAAGCAAAATCGCATATCTGGATAATGTACGAAGAACCTTTACTGCCCATATATATTCATCCACGCACATAAATTAAAGAGTTCGTCAAATGTCCTTCGAATTGTACTCTCTGGAACATAGGCGAGAAAGCTTTATTATAATTTACAACTGAAGAATTCTTGAGTGAGTGGTCCAAAATCTGCACTCTGAAATTGCTCCCACCCACAAAAGGCTTGTACATACAAAAGGGGGATTTATCAACGGACCCCTTAGCTATCTCCGAAAGGAAACTGGATAAGTTGGGTGTTGATCAGC